ATAATACCATCAAATTGTACAAAAACCACAAAATGTCACTAAAAACTTCAATAAGTTAAAATAAATTTTTTAAAAATACGGGATGGAGAATGACTTGGGTAGCAAAATGTTTTTCTCAGTAGTATATATCTACTTTGCTCATCAGTAAGGATTCTATGACATAACCTCACCGAAAAAAATAAAAATAATAAGCATTCCTATGAGAAATCATTAAGTTCCAGTGGTTAAGTACAGGCATAGTTAATGAAAATGGTTTTATAAAGCATATTATATTTTATTTTATAATAATTTATAATAAAAGTAATGATGAGATAATTCTGTAAAAGAAAACAAATTTGGGCCTGGAGAGATGGCTCGGTGGTTAAGAACACTGGTTGTTCTTGCAGAAGACCCGGGTTCATATCCCAGCACCCACAAGGCAGCTAACAACTATCTGTACCACGTCCAGGGGATCCGACAGCCTCTTCTGTCCTCTGAGGGCATCTCACAACACAGGTACATTTACGTAAGGCAGGAGGTTAAGAAGTTCAAAGTTACCCTTGGTTTCATATTTAGTTTGAAGCCAGCTGTGATTATAGGGAGACCTGTTTCAAAAATAAATAAATAAATAAATAAATAAATAAATAAATAAATAAATAAATAAATAAATAAATAAAAAGTTGCCCTAGATAATGACACAGAGCAAAGGCGTTACTTTAGTTGTGATTTTTGCATTTGCACTGCCAAAGGTGATAAATGCTTTTCTTCATATTTATTTACAAGGCAAAATATTTTATTTTTTGAATTTCAGTGGGTATGACAGTTTCAATGTACAGTACTTCTTAATGTTCTTAACAATCAATAGTGCAGTTTTAAGCCCCTCATACCCACTCACAGGAACTTCTGATTCAGATCCTTTCTGGTGCAAAGAAATCCAACTGAGCCTGCAGCTCTGAGGAATACAAAGGCGCATGCCAGCCTAAAAATTAAGTAAATCTTAGCTTCATAGTTCATGTCCTATTTACAGTGCCCATTAGTTCCCCTTAAAAATTACATCATCCTATTTCCAGTAAAGCAGTTTGCAAAATTTGTATTGAAGCTTCTGCAATCGAGTGTACATTAGAGTCAGGGCTTCTGATCACAAGGGCGATAATTGAAAATAATTTAAAGATAATTGACACAATTTTCAGTGTAACTTGAATCCTGCAACATAAAAGGATTGTAGATGAAATTAAAATTATATGAATAAAACACATTTGCTTAAGACTAAAGTAGCCACATTTATTTCATGATCTTAAAACATATATTCAGATTAAGGCAGTGTGGCAAACTGAGTGAAACTGGGGGAGTGACACCTCCTGCCCTTTTGTATTTATTATTTCATTTGTCTTTATCTAAAATTAGTTCAAGCAAGAGTTTAAAAGATTTTGAAACTTTTTTTAAGTGTTCATCTTCTGCTGTGGGGCCATCTGTAATTGCTAGAACTCTGAGAGCCAGGGAGGGATGTGACAAAAATACATTGTATACATGCATGAGTTTCTCAAAGAATAAATAAAAGCATTTTAAAAACTTAAAAGAATGTGCCATAAATACCTTGTTCTTATTATCAAAATACATAAAATTCAAGATGAAAATTTGAATTCAAAAAATACATTTTCCTTTAAAGTCTTATAAAGTGTTGTGTGCAGATCAATCATCAAAGTACAAACAGTGGAATAAGCAAATATAACACGGAAACATTCATTACCATTTAAAAAGTCTCATGATCTTTCCATAAAAAGCTGTAGTTTAGACTCAGACTTATTCTGACCTATATGTGTTCTTTGAGGTAGAGTCCATACCCTCATATAGGTGCCAATTCATTCTCTCTATATTTTCCTAAAACATTATGTGTTATTTCTCTAATAGCCAATTACTTGAATATTCTGTAGCTGTTCTTGTTCTTTTTCAGAGGTTTTCCATGTCACAGTGGCAACTGGGAGAGCTCCTTGAACAGTGACCATGTTAATTGTGTCTCCTGTTCTCCACATTCTGTGTTAAATTTTCCTGAACGTATCTGAGCCAGAAACTTAATGGATGTAATTAAAACCAGAGACTTGATTCTGTGACTTGAGTCACATTTTCTGAGTTTAGTGCCCTTCCTGTATCATGTGTTATGGTGTTTCTGTGGAAACAGAGTATTTTATATTTCTTATCAATAACTCTAGACAGTGTTGTGGCACTTCAGTTTACCACACTCCATTGTCAGCTCTCCTTACACAATGTCTAAGCATAATATCTTTAAATCCAAGTATCAGAATGGTGACTATATTAATGTATAAGTGACCATGTATTTAGAAAAGCAAAGCATTATTGTACAAATAATATAAAATAAACTTGTGTTGAAATTCTAAATTATTTTCTACAACTTGAAAATGAAAAGTTAAAAATATGTTTAACTTCGAAGACATACATACTCAGAAAAATGGACGGAGCAGCCTGGGAAAGAGGAAAGCAAGAAGGGACCAAAGGAAGGAAGGATGGAAAGAAGATGGGAAGAGAGGAGGGAAGGAGGGAAGAGCTTGTGCTCTAAGAACAGTTACTTAAGCAGTATGGGCACTTGGCTAATGGTAAATTTTGAAGCACTATTTGGTCGTACAGTTTCTGTTAAAGTAAGGAAACTGAGCACCAAGCTTATGCAGATCTCTCAAAAAAAAATCGTTGTGTGGTGAAAGTTCCATAAGCTCATTAAACACAGCAGCCTGCCCACACATCGAAATGTCTAACTCTTTATAACTATTTTAAATCATCTCTAAAAATTGGGAAAAAATGTCATTCTGTGTGTTATTGTGAAAATCTGAAGATAGCCACATCGAAATGTCTAACTCTTTATAACTATTTTAAATCATCTCTAAAAATTGGAAAAAAAATATGTCATTCTGTGTGTTATTGTGAAAATCTGAAGATAGCTGTCCTCTATTCACTATGGCAGGATGTCCTTTCAGTGGTGGCCAGAATGCTCTGTAGCAAACTCTTCCCTCAACATCTAAGAGAAAGTTGGAGAGAAGGCACAGCAGTGAGGCTGGAAATGTTCCCTTTGCTTCTCAGGTGTTCTCTTCATCATGATCTCTGAATAAAACAAGTGAAGAATCCAAAATTCCTCCTTGACTGCAACTGGGATTTAAAGAGCTTTCCCTGAGATGTCGTGAATATGTGAGACTGATTTTTAGGTCCCCAGGGTTTGGAAACTTTCTGTCCCCATGAGATACCAAGACAGAATTTTATGCATTCTTTCAAATGCATCAGTGTTTATAATACTTTTAT